ATAAAATTATATGTGGCACCATCTATTATGAGATTTTGTTATAAAAACTTTGTTATTTTATAATAATTGAAAATATATAGATGACTTAATTTTGAGAATAGAGATGAGTTTTAAAAAGATCTGTAAATGCTAACAACAAGTAAAATCTTCATTAAGCTCAACCCCCACACAAGATATGACATGTGACCACCCTCTATCTCCCCCCCCTTGATTTTTCATCACCAAAATTTAATAGCATGAATGCCCATTATACACAAGCTACCATGCAAATTTAATTTTCTAGTCTTCACTCCATCCTGAGATATTAAACAAAATAGATACCAACATACACATACACATATTCATGAAAGTTTTTTTCTGTTTTTGGATTCAGGAATCTCAAAATGCAGAGATTTTCAAAAAACTGAGGATCAAATTTGACACGATTCCATTACTTTAAAAGCAAATCAGACAGCCAAAAAATTGCCATGAAATAAATACCCCCAAAAATGTGTTTTTATAGAAAAACTATATAAAAAATTTAAATAATTAAAAAAATGCTTTTATTTCATAAATATAGCAGCAGGGATTGTTATTCTTTTATTTGACAGAGTGCAAAAATTTAAACTTGCAGTCTACATTGTTTACAAACCAGTAGACCTTGAGAACAGCTGGTGACTTGGGATATTTACATACACACCTCAGGGTAAGTTGGCTTTAAGCAGGAGTGGAACTATTTTACCACATCTATTCAAATATAACACAAAATTTTCGATTTTTATGCTATTATAATATGGGGGACCGAAAAAAAGGTACATATAAAAAATTCTTCTGAATAAGAAACAAAAAACCTGCTGATGTCATAAAGCACATCCAATAGTGTTTTAAAAAATTTTATTGAAGTTAAATCAGTCCAATAGAAGTTTAGAATGATTTAATTAGTTTGATTAAAAAAACTCATAAAAAATAATAGTGCAATTAATTAGGTAATTAATTGAAGTAAAATCTCTTGGTGATGCATTCTTTACAGATCACAATTCCTTTCACAGTTGCTTTAAAGTGTATATAATGTGATCATAATTCCGTCAAACTATTTAAAATGAAATAAACTGAAATAATTAGTAATAAAATAAATCTGTAAAGTATGCATTGTAAACTTTAAAAATGACATTTGACACCAAAATTAAAACTGTATACAGTAAGACCCGGTTTAGTGCTTCCTCAATTAACGCTGATTCAATATAATGCTGTCTGCTCAAAGGCTTAAAAAAATGGTCAAAATTTACATTGATTCAAATTATCGCAAAATTTACATTGATTCAAATTATCGCAAAATTTCATTGATTCATATATAATATGATTATTCCTGAACATGAATCAATCAGTAAAAGGTGGCAATTTGCCGTAGCACTGTACTTTCCCTAAGTCTATGTTTTGTGCAATTTTGGAAAAAATATAACATTATGGATGTCATAGGCAATGTTGACTTTGCTTGACAAGAATTAACTGATAAATGCATGAACGGAGTATGGAAGAAGATATGGCCAGAGGTATCCAAGGATTCTCAGGAGAAGAGCCTATCGTTGACCAAATTGTCAACTTAATCGATACAACAGGACTAGGAGATGTAGATGAGCAAGATATTAAGGAGGTTTCTGATATTACTTGAGGTTTCTGATGAGAGTCTTAAACAACCTTTGAGAACAGGCAGAACAAAGGAATTCATGTAGAACTGGAAAATAGTGATTCTGAAAACCAAGAACCCAAAGAACTTGCTACAGATTTCCTTACTAAAAGTATGGTAACGATAACCAAAATCGTTGATCAAATTGTAATGAATGATCCAGATTTTGAAAGGCGTGCAAAAACAAGACAAGGCATTTTGGATGCAATTTCCGGCTACTGACATTTGCTTAAAGCAGAAAAAAATTACAGTGACAAATGACACTAGACAAGTTCATTGCAAAAAAGTCAAGAATTTCAGAAGAACCAGAACCTTCATCTTAATAATGAACTTTATATTTCTCTGTGCATATGTTTGTGTTATGTAACATATATTATTATGCAAATTAATATAAAAATAACTTAAAATTAAAGTAAAATTTGTTTATTTTTGGTGGTGTGTTCTCCTTTTCCTATTTACTGTGTGTTAAAATGACCTTGCTTAACACTGTTTTATTTTGTGCTTTGTTGTCTAGGAATGTATCCTAAGTGGTAAACAAGGTCTTACTGTATAATGAAATATTTATTGACATCACAATTACAACTTTCCACTTTGGAATGATTATTTGACTTTTCCAATATCTCAAACTTCTATAGCAAAATAATTATGAATGTAAAACTCAGACATTGAATGAAGGTTTCATACCTAATTGTACTAAAATGTGTTTCATGTACTGTACATGTAAGATAAAATGATTGATCTACACATGCTTGATGGTAGTTTCTGTATCTGTAAGATTTACAGGTATGTTTTTGGGGATTAGAAATATACTATAAATGATTTCTAGGAAGCAGTTTACTTTCTCAAGTAAATTGCTTGTAGAAAAAAGCATTGAAAACATAGCTTTGTATCCATTTTATGTTATAAATTACATTTGCTTAATAATGATCATGTATTGTACAGTATATACTAAATCAGTGTTTCTCAACGGCAGCAATATCACCCCCATGTGGGCGTTTTTCCATGTTCAGGGGATGATTAGTAACAATTTGTATTTTGGGGGGGCAAAAAAACAATTTTCTGGGTGATATAGTAAAACATTATATTAAGAATAATTAGATGTTATTCGTTATATCGTACAACAATTAAACAAATAACATTATATAGTCACTAGTCTATTCGATGCAGTAAGAATTTGGGGTTAGCCTTGTCCCTTGGCATTGGAATTTTGTAGTGAAGGTGGCAATACTACGTAATGGTTTTATTGAAGGGGGCGATGATTCGTTAGAGGTTGAGAAACACTGTACTAAATGCATGTGTACAGTACATTTGCATTTTGTATTAAAGTGCAGTGTTTGCAAATGTGGCCTTTTTTTTACATAGAAATTTGGTATTATCCTAATTATTTATATTTAGTAATTTTTAGTGTGAGGCTTGGTTAGTTTACTTTTTTCTATTTTTACCTTTAATTTTTTATCATTATCTCTTTCAGGGTCTCAGATCATAGTTTACATACCATTGATATACTGTGTGATTTAGTGAAAATTTAAAATATTTAAATTTAATATTTACAAAGTTACACAAACAAGTCTTGTAATTGCTAAATTTTTCAATTCTAATTTAATATTACATTATTTCATTTAATAACTTTAAGAATTTGAAAAATCTAGCAAATAAATAAAATTATATGTGGCACCATCTATTATGAGATTTTGTTATAAAAACTTTGTTATTTTATAATAATTGAAAATATATAGAGGACTTAATTTTGAGAATAGAGATGAGTTTTAAAAAGATCTGTAAATGCTAACAACAAGTAAAATCTTCATTAAGCTCAACCCCCACACAAGATATGACATGTGACCACCCTCTATCTCCCCCCCCTTGATTTTTCATCACCAAAATTTAATAGCATGAATGCCCATTATACACAAGCTACCATGCAAATTTAATTTTCTAGTCTTCACTCCATCCTGAGATATTAAACAAAATAGATACCAACATACACATACACATATTCATGAAAGTTTTTTTCTGTTTTTGGATTCAGGAATCTCAAAATGCAGAGATTTTCAAAAAACTGAGGATCAAATTTGACACGATTCCATTACTTTTCCTTGTTATGTATATATAACAGTTAAAAAAGTAAAAATGATACATAATGCAAGTCTCATATTATAAATTTTTATTGAATTGATAGTTGACATAATAATAAAGGTTTTGCATAATATTGTTTTTGATTTTGAATTAAATTTCAAAGTAAAAATGTAAGCTTTGATATCGTTATGTAAAATTAATAAGTCAATGAAAGATGATAAAGAGAAATTATTAATTATTATTGTTCTTATAATTATAAAACATAAATTAATATGAATATGTTAGTATTAATACTTAATTCTTATATTTTTTAACATTAGAGGTGCATTCCAGAATTATGTATTAGCTTCCCCTAGTGCACATCTTTTGAAGATTTAAAAAAATAAATTTGAAGATAGAAACATTTGAAACTGGAACATTTAAAATCAGAAGTTAAATCAAACTTGGATCAACCAGAAAAATTTTTATAGAGCATCTGAAGAAGATCCTAGAGTGTATCAAAAATATTAGTGTTATATTTCAAAAATTAACTGCAAAGCTATACAAGATTAGTGTGATGTATTTGTACTCTGCCAAAGATGAGTCATGCTCTAATCACTTTGCTGTTGCAACTTCTGAAAACTGTGACACAATTACTGGTCGGTATGCAAAATTTATGCTGAACAAACATTATCTACCTGTGATTTGTGAATGGCATCCCAAATTACCCAGCACAAAATTTTGTCTTGCACAGGAACAAAGCTATGCTGTTCAGAGCTCAAATCATCTGAGATTTTCTGATAGAAAAGATCATTGAAAACTTGCCACATCCTGCATACTCACCAGATCTGGCTCCTAGTGATGTCTGAGTATTTGCAAACCTGAAAGATTCACTCCATGGTATGCATTATTTGTCAAGATCTGCTCTTGTTAGTGCAGTTTTTCAGTGCTTTCAAGTCCAGAAAGCAAGTTCTCACAGTGCTTTGATAAGTGGTTAGAGATGCCAAGGGTGTCTTGACAAAGATGGGATTATGTTAAAAAGTGACATCAAAAGTTTTCTTCATAACTTACTGGTTTAAAAGTTATGGCTAAACAGTACGTATTTTTGGCATGCACCTCGTAATTGAACTCAGTCTGTTTGCTGAAAGTTTATTTGTTCCATTGTTCAAGTGGCTAAAATTACGTTTTGCATAATATATTGTCATTTAACTAGAAATAAAACATTAAAGTCTTCTATAATAAACTATTTTAAAAATTTAATAAATATTATTTTGTATTCTAGGAATATATGGACACTCTAGTGTGTATCATTCACAAACTAAATCAATATTTGTTTTTGGGGGAATAATATATAATGTTAAAGGTGCTACAATCTCCGGTGATTTGTATACACTTCATTATCCAACTGGCAGATGGTCAAAATTACCACCTAACCAACCTGATTCCAATGTAATATTTTAATTCATTTTATTAAGTTTTTAAACTTAATTTTAACATGTAAATTTTAACATTTTTATATCACTGTAGCCTCCTCCACGTAGTCTTCATGCTGCTGTTTTAACAGACGATTACATGCTTATCCTTGGTGGTCGAAATGAAAAGTTTGAATTAGTGGGCGAAACTTACGTTTATATATTCAAATGTAATTTATGGATCTGCTTAGAAAAAGAAAGTATGTCTGTTTTTATATGATAGATTTAAATTTCATATGAAACATATTGAAATTGAAATTATTAAAATTTATAAATCAATCAGATGTTTCTGTTGTGGGAGAACCATTGCCGCCAGTATCTGGACTTTCAGCTACGTCATTTTCAAGAAGCTTTTATATTTTTGGAGGTTTCAATGGAGAAACAAGTGACCGTTTGACAAAATTAACTTTACCGGATGACATTTGTCATTTGTTTTCAAAGAAACAGTCAGAGTGCATTCGTTACACAGGCTGTTCATATTGTTCCGTGATGGAAAATAATGTGAGCCGTACATTTTGCTATTCTGAATATGGAAGCATTCCTTACAAGTACAAAGCATTTGTCATTCAAAATTTAAATTACAATTCATAAAAATTAAAATTGTTTATTATTTTACAGTTGTGATAATCCAAAAGGACGACTAAACATTATTACAGATACAGACTGTAATTTAGAATGGATGGAAAGACGAGATTGCTATCAATACAAAACGTGTATGGATTGTGTTGCAGTTTGGCCATTCTTTCCAAATGCTAAACAGGTATTTAGAAATAAAAACTCTTAAAACATTATTGGCATATTTTTCTCACATTGCATAGCATAAAAATTAGAATGCTTAAATTGGAAAAGCCAGATTTATAAAGAAAACTTTTAATATATTCCAAAAATAAATTAATAATATAATGAAACTATTTGCTTAAATATGTTGTTGTAATGTCAAAAGTAATATTATATTGTATCTTAATTTACATAAGATACAATAATACAAAATTATTAAAAGTTATTAAATTATATATATGTTTTCCTAGTTATGCAAGTGGTGTTCAAATTGTCAAAGAGGAATATGCATTCCAGCTTCAGCTTCCTGTGAAGTAGAAAATGATTGCAAAATTTCACAGCGTGCCATAAATCAGTCGTCATTTTGTCCAATAAGAGAATGCTTAGCATCAGACTGTGAAAAATGTGGAAGTCTGCCAAACTGTACATGGACACGCCAAGTTGAAAGATCAGGTAAAAAATTTTTTTTTGGTTTTAAGTAAATCATTAGTTGACATTAGTAATAATTTTAGGTGGTGAATGGAAGCATACTTTAAAAGATAAACCAATATTTAATTGGACTTGTGTGGGAAAAACAATCCAAGGTGCATCTTCATTTCCCGTAGAATCAATGCCTCCATTAACTTGTCCTCCTCGATGCAGTCAGCATAGAAATTGCAGTACTTGTTTACAAAGTGCTGGTGGAGAAGGAGGTTGGCACGAGTGCAGATGGAGCGAAGGATTACAACAAGTAATAATGAAAAATTTAATGATTTTAAAATATCATAACATCAAATTAGTTTAACTGTAAAATAAAATATTATAGTGCATTTCTCCAAGTTTTGAATTACTACAATGTGAAGGAGGGGCTTGTGGAGCTGTATTACAAGGTTCCAGTTCCTATTGTCCCGTACCCTGCTGGCACCATAGCCAAGCAGCTCACTGCTTGTCATATCCTAACTGTGGATGGTGTGCTTTCTCGGGCAAGAAAGTCAATGGTCGAGGCATCTGTATGGAAGGTTGGATAAAACATCCAACGGATGGAAAATGTTATGAAAATCATGTATATTTAATTGATCATCCACTTCCTGGTAAGTATCCTGTATTTATACTTGTTCTCTGTATTCTAACAAGTTTATTTTTTATGATTATAACCATGAATACAACTATGTTAATGTTGATAATGTAGAAAATGTCACCAGATGGTTAAATCAATCTGATGGTCCAGTTTATTGGGCATATCTTAAACAACCACCAGAAAATGAATGTCTTAATGGTCATCATAACTGTGATGACAAACAGCATCAAGAATGTGTTGATACAGAAGAAAAATTTGAATGTAAATGCAAACAAGGATATGTAAATGATGGGTGAGAACTTTTAAATATGTAAAATATATGTTGTTATTTATGTGACTCTAAATAAATTATTTTATAGCAAACAATGTAAACCAGTATGTAATCAGGGATGTATGTTTGGAACTTGTGTAGAACCAAATAAATGTAAATGTCATTTTGGTTATGTTGGACATAATTGTTCAATACAATGTGATTGTAATGGACATAGTAATTGTGCAGGTCCCGATCGTCTTAATGATTGTTTAAAATGCCATAATAATACACAGGTATATATAAGTTTTGTTTATTATATATTTAAAGAAATTTATTTAAGTTCACTAATCTAATCCATTTTAGGGATCACAATGTCAAAAATGCAAACCATTTTTTGTTGGAAATCCCACAAATGGTGGAAAGTGCATTCCTTGTAAAGTATATTGTAATGGACACAGTGATTTATGCTTTAGCTCAGATTTCCTAAATTCCTCTCTGCTGAGTTCACTCAGCAATCACTGGGATCAATATCTTGTGAGTTATGATATAAAAGAAAGATTATTATAATAATATATTTTGGAGATTGTGATTTTATAATATCAATTTTTATTATACAATATTTGTTATTTTACATTATTTTTAGATGTCTGAATACTTAGAATTAGTAAAAGAAGGACCCAAGGATGATGCAATTTGTATAAATTGTCAAAATAATACTGAAAATAATAGATGTGATCAATGTATTTCTGGATTTTTTAAAATTGGAGATAATATAAAAGAGGGTTGTAGACCGTAAGTTATGCCTATTTGAAATGATTTATTTCTTAATTGTTGTTTGAAGTGGAATAGTATTTTTTTAGAAATGTTAAAAATTTAATTATTTTTCTTATATTACATTTATAGTTGTGAATGTCATGGCCATGGAGATATGTGCAATTCCATAAATGGCGAAAATTGTAATTGCCAAAATAATACAGAAAATGATAGACAATGCAGTCAAAAGAATAGCAAAAATATGGTGACCCCATGTTGGCAATTACAGGTATGTATGTATAGGAATCCATGATATTTTCTTAGAGAATGAAAAGTTTTGAATTTTATTATGTTAATGTAAAATATGGAGCACAAAAAGATGTACAAGTATCTGACCTACAAGACCTGTGAAACTAACAGTTCATTCCATACCTTTTCTGCTTGTTAATAGAGGGATAATCTTCTATCCAAGGAAGAAAGTACTATTGCTGCCAATTATCTTGATCTCAAGTTTTCTTTTGAATTCTGAAACTATCAGAAATTTTTCTTATTTATAGAGATTTATAAAACTAAATAGTTCTATAAATCTCTTCCAAATATGAATCAATCCTTAAAATTTGTATCATAATTCCAGAAAATAATTTTCAAGATCTTAAGTCATTTCAAATCCTTTATTTATTCTGTTGATACCAAGTATTGAAGTTGGATTTTCAGTCATGTCTATGAATTTATCTTTGGAATGGACAGAAAATTTAACAAATTCTCCATTTTAAAAGGACTCAAATCACAAAATTCATATCCTAGTTAATATGCAATTTTTTCAAATTTTGGATATTGCACCTCTGTTGATGGAATATCATTACCACTCAAAACTACTACTGTTCATATCGTTTTTACAAAGTGCTAACAGACATTTAAATGTTAAATGAGTTGCTAATTGTATTATTTACATAAAATTTAAAATTGTAAATTTTTTCAAAAACTTTGATGATACTAACAAGGAGGACTACCAGAGATGGTTTCCTCTAATTTTGCTGAGTTTTATCTCTATCATAGTACTCTCCCATTACTATGTGATAAAAGCCACTTGAAGCAACTCTCAAGCATTCTTGAAAAAAATTAGTTTAAAGTTTTCTGTTTTCCATGTGCGTCATGTATTGACAATTGTCAACAGTGGGTAATGTGCTTAATCATTATGCTGCAAGTTACAGGTTTGAATCTTATTATTATTAGTTTTTTCTAACCTACATGGAATCAGATTATTGTGCAGTGTATTTTTTTATTGTTAGTAAAGAAGAATTAGTATTTTGTAATTATAATATTTATTTGCTAAACAGTAAAAAATTCAATTATTTTTCATTTTTTGTCATGAACTTTATTCTACACATTTTATTGCATTCTATGTATTTGACATCCATTGCTAAAAGTTTCTGTCTTGACTTACATAGCAACATGAGCATGCTAAGAGAGATTATTTATTAAAAAGTATAAAATATGTTGTGCAATAATCCATTATATTGTAGATCAGAAAAAAAAAATTTGATAAAAGTAATATTTGAATCTGTAACTTCAGGGTGATAGTCAAGCACTTTCTCACTTGGTTTTGCTGCTATTGACACTGTCAATACAACACAATACATAAAGAATATGGAAAACTCTAAACTAATTTTTCTTGCAAATGCTTGAGAGTTGCATTGTGTGCCTTTGCCATAGTTTACTGGGATAGTATTATGATATATATTAAGCTTGGCAAAATTGGAGGGAACCCATCCCAATAGTCCACTTATAAGTATACAAGAGGACTACTGGGATGCTACTTGCATGCAAACAATTTGTGCAAAATTTTTATAATATACATTTTATGTAGTAGGCCTTAAAAGTAAAAATAATCTTCTGATCAGTGGCATAATATTCTTACTATCTATAATAAACGTGCCAAAGCCCAATAGGTTGATACTCAACCAAGCAATCACCATAATTAATCAGAATATAAATTTGCTATTATTAATAATTATAATGTTTAATAATTTATTAAATAATTTAGAACCGTCTGGAATAAAAGAACTAGCCTGGAGCAGGACTTAAACCTGCAACTTCTGCCTACCGTGCGGTGTGCTTGCCAGTTAAGCCACCCAGACCTCCAAGCAATTCTTTGCTTCCAGATGTAGTTAAACTTTAAATATAACCATGCACAGTTACTCACGGAACCGGATGGGGACGACTCCTATGCCCACAGCCTAAGTACACCTCCACTATGACACTCAGCCAGTTATCGCTTAACCCGGTATGGTAACACTGCTGGCCATTAAAATTGCTACACCATGAAGGCAGCACGAAACAAACACAAAATTTGCATGAAATGTTCAACATGCTGGAATATGCAAATGATTAGCATTTCAACGCATGCTCACAAAGCAGGTAGGAGTAAGGCCACCAGCAGTCTGTATAAAAGGGAAGATTGTAAGCTGGTTTCTCATATAGAAATTGCATTCACACATTGGTTGCTGTTTAAAGGTTTTGTTATGCCTTGTGTAAGGAGGAATGCCTACCACTGTGTGTCAGAGTTTAATTGTAGTAGAAGCGTAGCCTATGAAAACTGCAGTTTATTGTTCATTCTATTGCTGCTCATGTTGGTCATTATCCCACAACTGTCACGAGAATGTGGAATTGATGGGTCTGGGAGGGCCATACAGAATGCCAGGTGATATCTCAGCAGCCCTGGTCAGTAACACCCAAGAGGACAGACATTTTTTCCACATGGCTTTGTGGGATAATACAGCCTAGTTCAGGGGTGGCCAACAGTTTTTGCCTCCGGGCCGAATTGGAAAGAAAACTTTTTCTACAGGCCGAACCAGAGGCTGCCCTAGGAAGATTTTGAGGTGGTGCAAGATCTCATTGTGGTGTTACCCTGTAGAGACTGAATTGTAGATAGAGATTACAGATACATTTTTCACATTATTATGCTTTATCAACATTCTATGCTGTACTTACGAGATTTGTAATGGAGGGTTAACTGTAAATGCACAGTGAATTGTTGATTTATTTTTTATTTTTATTTTAGGTGTTAGAATTTTTCATCGAGCTATTCGGACTTCAGTAGCTAATATTGGAAGATTGATTGTGGGTCACATAAATTCATTAGATGGGCCGGATTTGGCCAACGGGCCTTATGTTGGCCATACCTGGCCTAGTTATATACCCTGAGTCTGGAACTTGGATCATTTTCAGAACAAGTGTCTGCACAAACAGTGCAACAGTGTTTGCAGCACTGTGACCATTACTGCAGCTTCCCTTGACACTGCAGCAGAAACAGGCATGCCTACACTGGTGCATTCAGCGACAAAAATGGACATAGAAGTGACATCACATTTTCAGACAAACCCTGTTCTGCGTACAGCATCATGATGGCTATATCCACATGTACAAGCACCAAGGGGAACAATCCTTGCCAGTTTTCATTCATCATAGTCTTGCGGGCTCAGCACCTGGAGTGATGGTATGGGATGCCATTGGATATACCTCTTGTTTGCATAGCTGGTAATTTTGACAGTTGTCATTACATTTTTGATGTGGTAAGACCCGTTGCTGTGCCCTATCTTTGGGTCCTCCATCACACTCGCTTTAAACAGGACAATGCACAACTGCATGTTACCCATGCTGACCTGACCTTTCTGAATACAGAGGGTGTTTGACTGTTGCCCTGGCCAGCACAATCTACAGATCTGTCACCAATTGAGAATGTCTGGTCAGTGGTTGCCAAGAAACTGGCACACCACCATTTGCCAGTCAGTACAATAGATGAACTCTGGCCTAGAGTTGAAATTGCATACTGCTGTACCCAAATTGCATACATGCTGTACCCATATCTATCCAAATTCTGCTCAATGATGCCCAGCTGGATTACAGCTGTTATTGCTGCCAGAGGTGGCTGCTCTGGATATTGATTTCTGCATGCTCTGTACTTCAAAATTACCTGTCAATTTAATGATGTCTTCCACCCATTATACTGTATATATACAATAAATATGATTCTGCTATTTGGTTTCTTTCTTGGTGTAGCATTTTTAATGGCCGGCAGTGTATATAAAGCAATAGCTGGCTGAATGCCGTAGCAGAGGTGTACCTATGCCATGGGTGTAGGAGTTGTCCCTAGCCTATGTTGTGAATAACTGCTTATAGTTATATCTAAAGTTTAAATACATCTGGAAGCAAAGAATTGCTTGGATGTCCGGCTGGCATAACTGACAAGTGCACTGCACAGTAAGTGGAAGTTGCAAGTTCAAGTCCCACTCCAGGCTAGTTCTTTTTTTCCAGACAGCTCTAAATTATTTAATAAATTATAAAAAATTATAATTATTAATTTAGATAAGAGATGGCACCTAACATCTATAAAAACAAATTTATAGCCAGATTAATTATGACAATTGTTCGGTTGAGTATTCTTACTAGACCCCCAATATGAGTGGTAAGAATATTACTTTTACATTTTCATGATGTAAATGTGTTGGATGTCCTGGAACATTTTTCTGTCAATAACTTCATGGGTTCTTTTTCTTTGTGTAAGTTTCAGTATCAGGTTTAAAACACTAGTAAAAACAAATCCTTGGATTTCTCATATTCCAGTTCTATATTGCTGTTGGATTTAAAATCTGCTATTATTAATCATGCTTTATCATACAATCATCTGATAATGCATTATAGCAAAAAAGAGTAATATTATTCAATCTTTGGCTATCTTAAAATCCTTCAGTTAGTTCTTCAGAAAAAGATTCATTTCATCAGATGTATAAGAGTCTTCCCAAATGATTTTAGTAACTTTCAAAACACTTTTCATTAGCTGTTGATGTTATGTAAACATAGCTAAAGTAGATTATTTAAAATTTTTGAATCATCTCTTCCTTTCAAATGAATATTGGATAGCATTGACATTATTTTAGCTTATTTCACATTGCATAGCTTTATAGTCATTCTCTTTTGCATGTTATTCTCTATCCATATCATAAATGCTTTCTTCATCATCTCTCTTGTTGTATTTTATACATAATACCGAGGTGTTGTGCAATAATCCATTATATTGTAGATCAGAAAAAAAAAATTTGATAAAAGTAATATTTGAATCTGTAACTTCAGGGTGATAGTCAAGCACTTTCTCACTTGGTTTTGCTGCTATTGACACTGTCAATACAACACAATACATAAAGAATATGGAAAACTCTAAATCAATTTTTCTTGCAAATGCTTGAGAGTTGCATTGTGTGCCTTTGCCATAGTTTACTGGGATAGTATTAT